TGGCGGTGGCTGCTCCTCCCCAGGCATACTGGTTTACTGGTTCCAGTGGGGCTCGGTGTGGATGGGGAGAGCCGCACACACAGACCTACTGCTCTGCTTGCCGAGGCTCGAGGCGTGCCCATCTATTCCAAATAAAGCCTAACACAAACACTGGGCTAAATGTATTTAGATTATGAGTCCATTAGGGAGGCAAGCACCCTTTCGTTAATCACGTAGATGTGCAGCGCGTAAAAGAGCGATGTGGTGGTCTGCCAGAGCCCGGCAAGAGTGAGAGTAGGATCACGCTGGGAACTGCCGAGAGAAGGCGATGGCAAAAGGAGACACGCAGAGGTGAAATAGCCCTTGGGGTGGCTAGGGTGGGGGCAATGTTCCTGGGGGTTTGTCCCCGAGGAGCAACCGGCTTCCCTGCTGTGGCACCTCGCTGCTGCTCCAGCCGTAGCCCCTCGCTGCAGGATGAAACGACCTCCTCTCCCATCTCAGGGCTGGCGGTGAGGTGAGACGATGTCTTCATGTCTGGTTGAGTTTCCAGGGTTCGCTTGGGTTTCGTACTCGTTTTTTGGTTGGGGCAAAACGTAGAAGTGGAGCGAACAGACCAGACAATATCCCGTGTTTGCTTTTGGGGCAGGGGGTGCATTTGTTTTCAATGTTAGGGAACCTCCCGTTTACTGCTGCTTTCCTATGTCTGTGTAAATGGTCCTCATCCCTATGAAGTCAATATATCTTCTACTGTAGTTCGGTAATGGGTAAGGACCAGATGTTTTCCTACTAAATAGATTTCCCAGTGCTTAAATAATTGCCAAAGCCCAGAAACATGCGAAGAACCTCAAGGGAAGTGCTCAGCATTTTGTTGTCTCTGGTCACGAGATCATTTTCAGTGATTTCTTCAGCGTACTGCTTGCGGATGCTGTTCACCAACTAGGGTCTGGAAGCCAGTTACGAGGCATTACACAATATGGCACTGCTCAATGGTTTGCACCGTGTCCTGGGCATCGCAACCGTTTGTGGCACTTAATGGATTATAGCTGATACCAACCAATGTCCGAGAAACTATTTCAGACAGGGAAGCCATAGGATGACACCAATCATCACTGCAAGACCAAATAACTATTTACTAAAAATGTTTTATAGAAAATACATGTAGAAAAATGACAATATTTACATGTCAGAGCCATCTACATCCACAAATAAAAATTTGCTACATTCGCCATTCGACAGAAAGTGAGATGAAAAGTATGATTCAGCGTGCAAATGTACAAACAGAAGTTGCTATATCCTTCCATTCATCTTCAAACGTGTCCTGATATTGCTTGATAATCTCCCCCAAGGTAGTATCTGGCAAGCATGCCTTTGGATTATTCAGAAATAACATACGATCATTCAGTGTGATCCCTGTTGCAGTATGCTCTGTATGCAGAGACCAAGAACGTGTACATTCCAATAAAAAAGGAAGGTAATGCCAGGGAGCATCCCCCAGGCGACAGTGGGCATGGTGTTATATATTGAGAATTGACCAGAGAACACAGAGCAACAAAAAAAATCTCTGTGTAATAGATAGTTTGTCTTAGCATGAGCTGCAAGGTTGTGAAGTCCCCCACGGTTTCCTTCCAGTCCTTTCTAGCAGCCACGACTCCTACATTACATAAATTGGTTCTTAGCTATAGGGAAAGTTTCTAACTCTAAGCTGCCAGCAGTAAATCCAAAATACTTTTTCACAGTTCAAATACATTTTCTTCCAAACAGGCTCCTAAAATAACATTTCAAAAAAAAAAAATTAACTTTTTAATATAAAATATTGCTTAGAAAACCCCCTCAAACCTGAAAACATGGGTGAGTCCTGTGCCGAGAACGAAAAGCCCGCTCCATTTGCACGGAGAACCTACAGAAGTCATTTCTCCAATATAGCAGACATCCAGATATGCAGGGAATGGCTTTTGCCCCCTTGCCTTTTCTGGCAGGCAGAAAATTTCTGAATTAAATAGCGAAATCTGAAAGAAAACTGTAGAAATATTTTCTGTTCTCTGTTGAAACAGATGATTTGGGAACAAGACAAACCGAAGGGTTCCAGTAAACGACGAAGAATTTCACGTATTTGATTAGCACTGAAAACACTATGTTAAAACAGCTGGCAAAAGTTAAAAACTTATCATTTTAGGCTTATGGCAGTGTGTTTCTTTGCCCTAACCTGTCAAAAGGATATTCTTGAAATAATTCTCTTGCTGCTTGAACACGCGTGTTTTTAAGTGATCCAACTGAACGCAGGTATTTAAGTGAAGCGACGTACCTGCTTTTCTGAATGACACAATAAATGCAGGGGCTTGTGTCTATTCATTTCCTCTTGTTGACAAAGTAGTAAGATGAACGTTGAGTGTTTATTCACGAGGCCCATATGCAAGGGCTGTACAGTGATTTAATTACCAGAATGGGGAGGTGAATGTGAGGGTTCCCACGGCAACCTTAGTGTCTTAAAAAAAAATAGATAACCGGACTTTCTCCTGGCATCATTCTATTGACGTAAAGTAACATTTGTGGAACAACTGTCTTCCTTCCCCTCCATTTTTTTTCACTTTCACCTTCTTTTCCCTGATTCCCCTGAACCTGGGCAAAATGCATTCATGATGCAAACTGGTATTGCTCCACTGATGATGCTGTGGATGTGCTGATTTATGCTACCTGACTTTTGCTGTGGATCTAACCCACACAGCTTACACTTGCAAATTTTTTTCTTTTTTTTTTTTTTTAATATAAAATAGTCCTACTCATAGAGTTAAAAAAATAGTGGTCACCTTTTTTAAAAAAATTACCGTTAAAAAAAAAAACCCACAATAAAAATTTTCCAACCATTCCTAAAAATAAAATAAAATCAAAACAGCATTACGTAAATATGCAGCTCTTGTTTAAGTACGGATAGTTGTGTCCATTTTCCTTAAAATATTAGTCATTGGGGGGTGTTATTCTGCATTACATCCTACCAAATACAGGCCAGTACAAATAAACATGGAAGAACCATGTCATGCTTAATTTGCAGCAAACGTCTAATAGAATTCAGTATTTACAAAAAAAACCAAACCACCTTCTTTTGGATCAAGTATTTGCTGTCAACAAATATAACAGCAACTACATTACTGAACCTATTGGAAGCCTGGTGAAATCTTTGCAGCACAGCAATTAAGTAAATAGGCACTATCATAATGTGCTGATCAAAATACTGGCTGATTTCAAAACCTCTTCTGTGCCATTTCAGCAGCTGTTTTTATGTACAATATCCTGATTAAGACAGACTAATGTGTTTACTCAAGCCACGATCTGAAAAATGCTTAAGCACATGTTTAATTTCAGGCATGTAAATACCCTGGTTTAGTCAGACTGTTCGTGTGCTTAAAATTAATTAGGTGTTTAAGTGTTTTGTTAGATGAGATGAAGATGTGCGGTGTGAGTTGCTGATGGCCTTTCAACTTTTGTAAAGCTCAGGTTCAAACAAAAGCTTCCAGAATAATTCCAAGCTGCATCTGGGAAGCAGTACTTCCAAAGGCTCCTTATCGGAGCTGAGATCTTCAAGACAGGGTCCCAGTGGAGACCACGAATAAAATCTGATGTCCGTCTCAGCCTCAGGTAACCGGACCCGGAGCATCCTTCATCCCACCTGCCACGGCTGAGCCGGCGTGGAGCATCTCTGCGGAGGTGGTGGCGAGCGCTTACCTGCCTGGGGTTCTGCCAAAGGTATCGTCTGTGGCGCGTGAAATCCTCGCACGTCCCAAGCCCGGCTGGGCAGCGAGCCGCGGTGCCCGTGCCTGCACAAAGCATCGCTGTCCCCAGCTGCTGCTGCCCCTTCCCCGCTGGTGGGAGAGTATCCGGCACAGTCAGACCCCGCGCTGAGTGAGCTGAGAAAGGGGAGTCTGGTATTGTCTACGCTGCTACAGTGTTTGCTTATTATCCCTGTTTTATAGAATTTTAAGCTGGTCCTGACTTGGAAAACTGGCTCCTTTTGGAGCATGATTTTCATCTTTTAACCGATCATAAAGGCTCCAAAAAAACTTGCTTCTTTGTCCATGTCAACTATGTCACCATTACTGACAGAGACAAAAATCCTGTCCTCGCTTTTCAGCTGAAAGACACCACCTTGGTAGATGGAGTAAAGTCCATATTCTGCCTTTTTAGACCAGCAGCTTGTTCTTGCGCTTTTCATGAGCAAAATGGGCTCTGGGTAATTAGTCACTTTGTAAACATATTGCACAAGCTGTTTGGGGTTCCTGATTTGCGCCAACAAATCTGAATCCTCGTTCTCGTTTTGGCGGAAACGAAAATAAGTTTGTGAGTAGATGTAATAAAACCCGGTTTGGGGTATCACTAACTCGCCGTTTCTCAGCTCCACGTTGTACAGGAAAGACGATTCCCAGTTGTTTATTTTTTGCCCGTTCCCTCTTCTGGGTGAGGAATCTACTTGAGAAAAAAAAAAAAGAGAAAATGTTAAATTAAAAGCCAGGTAGTGAAGCCAGATGTCTGCTAGTCAGAGAATCCGGTTTTTAACAATGAAGTCAGGAAACCTGCTCTTCCCAGCGGCTCTTTAGGTCCGTTCTCAAAACAGTTTGAAGGTCCAGAAGCAAGCTGGTTAGCTCTATGTGGGAATTCACATGAACTACCTTTATTTTTAACTTTTGCGCTCCCAAGTAAGAGGAAAAGCGCCGTGTTGTTCCTTAGTAACAAAGTGAAAATATCCATTTGAGTCTGATACCCTCCAAAGCTGTAGAAACCCCACCAAGCCTGTCATTAACATGGCCTGAATGTCAAGTCTCTCCTGTCTCTGTCTCACGTTACTAATAGGTCTGTCACCATAGCAGCTGGGACTCACACAACTAACAGAAGGAAATTAAAGGAAAGAAAAGAAGAAAACTTAACATTAGGAAGAAGGATATTTATTTTTTTTTCCTCCCCCAGTGAAGGTTCCAGAAGAAAAATTAGTGAGGTACCCAGAGGGAGTGGGCTTTTTCTCCTAGCTGAAAAAAGCATTGTCTGGGACAAAATGACTTTTCTATGATTTGTTTCTTACCGTTAACTCAATGCAAGTACTAAAAAGCATATGTAAGCACCAGGCTAGCACTGAGAGAGTAAGTTCTGTGATCTTTAACTGTTTTAAAAGGTTTTTCCTTACTGCGTGGGGACAGGGAATTCCTCTTATTGTTGTTGCCCGTCAGATGCGCTGCGATCCTGTTGCCGGGACTGCGCGGTGGCTGCCCATCGGTGTGCGACAGCGTCAGGGCTCTGTCAGCTAAGGCAAGACCAGAAAAGGAACCTCAGGTTAGAAGCAAGGGTGTTAGAAAGCACATCTGTCCCATTTGACCTGATTTTAAGGAATATGTATGCTTTTTTTTTTTTTAATTGACTAAATCACAAGAATGATGTATTGGCTAATAAGGCTCCAATTTCTCAGTCGCTCTCGCTCTCCTTGAAATGTCTTTATATGCCTCTTTGTTTTCTCCCTTTCCCCCCTCCCCCAGCCCCAAAATTACCAATAAGCAACTTAAAATAACCCATAGTACCAAATTTTCACATTCACTATCAGTATCTTTTATGGTTAAAGTACTCATAACCTTTACTCCGAATTTCCACTTGGAGATCGTTGTGCTTTCGCTCAACATGTTTAGAGCTGTCTGAGCTTCAGCAGAGCTATTCCTTAATCCATCTACGCATACAGCAGTTCAGTGCTGCTTGCTCCCGGGAGAGCAGGCTGCTCAAACGTCCCCGTAACACTGGGGGACTGAGGTCTAGAAGCTGAGTCCTCTGCATCCACCTCGGTTACCTTGCTCTGAGCATCTGACCATATTTCTGGCTCCTGAAAGTTTGTCTTCTAGTAATAAGTAACCATTTTTCAATAACTTGCTGCCAAAGGACTGTGTAACTGTACACGGTCTTAGTCACTGGTTTCTGCACTTTGAAAAAAATTCCTTGAGTCGCTACACATCAGGTGCCACTAGCAGCTCCTTTTTGCCACAGAGAGTAAAATTATTATAATACCGTTGACTGCAGGTATCTTTTCCTCGTAGCTTCTTGACATCATCTGCCAACAAACACAGAGAAAACAAATTAGTCTGTCAGCAGAAACTGATAGGTGCAGGAAAAAGACACTACTTTCTCAAACTCATGAATAAAGGGTATTCTGGATTTGATGAACAAGCAAATAAAAAAAAAGCCTATTAATTTGTTGTAATAAAGTATTTCTACATTTACATCTTTTATGTAATGAAATACGTGGGAAAACATTTTCAAGAGAGCTCAGCCATCTGGGCTTTCGGTCTATTGGAAAATTTGACCCTCATGCTCTTCTTAATTAAAAAGAGATACAGCGTACAAACATCAGCTTCCGTTCGCAGAATACTTGGCAGTGTGCACTTCTGTGGGATCTTGGCTCTGGGAAATTACATTTCATTTATTTTTATACCTCTACCTCTCTATCTATTTAAGCTCTTAAGCCAGCAGATCTTACTTTGTGCATTATCCCTTCTTTATAACTGTTTGCTGACTGCTGAAATGAACTGGTGTGGTTACCGAGTGGTACAGCTGCAGCAAGCTGATGGTTTGAGATGATTTACCTGGGTGACTAACATGGGCCCTGTATTGCCACTTGCTGATGGGGTCTGCCCTGTCATATTTCTGTCTGTCTATCTATCCTATTATTACCATCATCATCCTTCTTATCATTATAATTTATTATTATTATTTCTGTCACCCAGGCTACATTTTTTTAAGTAATCAGGGAGCTAGTAGGTATATTAGATGTGTAAATGTCCACTATATAAAACAATGTTTTCTTTACGCAGAAGTGCAGGGACTTCACTGGCAGAACTTCCACCGAAGGAGCAGAGATCTCTGAATACAAATAGAGGATCTATTTTGGGCTGCAAGATTTGCCAGGTAAGTTTCAGCCAGAAGTGAATTTTTATGGATGAACATTTTTTATGTGCTGGAGATGGGATTTTGAAAACCACTCCTGTAGATTATAGCCTTCCTGATTTTTCAGCCAGGCTTATTTTCTTCTCTGTAGCCAAAATTATACATCTTGTGTGTAAGTCATGCAGGAGATGGTGTTCTCTGAATGCTGCGCTGGGAAGGTGCTGTGCCCGATGCTGTGTGCTCCTCGCTCTTTCCTCCCCTAATACATTACACAGCTCATGACTGGACCATTCCTCAGGCACCTTTTTACCTCTCCCCGTGCTACGTTTCATCTCATTTTCGCGTGCCAGTCTCCCTGTGTTTCCAAAGAGGGAGTTACACCTCTGCAAGCACTGCGGTCTGTACGGTCAGGTAGAAAACAAGCTCGAATCAAGCACTTCTACCCTGAGGTATTTCAGATAAGCCAACCTATTGCTGAAATTAGCTTAGTAAAAACTGATCGTCTTTCCTTTATTATTTCCTGAATCTAGTGAAACCACTGTCGGGATTTTTTTTTTTCTTTAGTGCAAGCACTCTGCAGCTGAAGCTGTGGCTTGACTAGTGCTTTGCAAGAACACAATCCGAGAGCCCCCCTCTATTCTGCTATTAGAATTCTTTGAATAGTAATATCGCCAAGTGCCACTGTTTCAATGTGTCGGTTCCCAAATACCTTTTTAATTAACTTTCCCAGGTGCCACTTTACTTGCCAGCAGGGATCAGCTTCTCTGTCTTCGCTTTCAATTAGATCCAAGTTTTGGATGAAATTTCCGATTTCCTCCCCGGTGAGACAAGCAATGCCGCTCTTGGAGTACATGTCCCGGAGCTGCAGCAGAAGGGAAAGCCAGGATTTTTCACCTGTGATGTGCCTCACAGATGCTCAGCTGTGGTATGTCACTAAATTTACTATGCTTAGGAATACCTTCTTTTCTTTAAAGCATTTGCTAGTACGGTGCAAGTTGTGACTATAGAGACAGCACGAGTAATTAATCCTGACTTTACGTATTCATTTATTTCTGATGGCATACCCAATATGCAAAAATATACTTACATGATCTCCACGGACTTAAATTTGGTATCTAGCACTCAGCTAAATAAGCTTTGTGAAAATTCAATACCCAAATCACTAACATTGTGGATTCTTTAGTTTCTCTAGTTCTGCATTAAAAACATTTCTTTTGCACAAGGCATTTTTCTTCCCAAATTATTGAGGCTGAAATCAAATACCAGACCTTAAAAGTATTTTCCATTCTGTCTTTTCAGACACTTATAATCCCGGCTTTCGCTGATGTATATCCATACTATATCCTCCTCATACCCAATCCGGGGTCTCGCTGTAACTGTATTTGACCTAACAGTCCAGGACAAAGTCCACACATCATTTGGGTCCAAAAAAAAATTATAATGCTGAATGCTTGTGTTGTGGGCCAGTGTCTATACCCTCTAGTCATAGAGAAAGCACGTTTTGTTCCGATAAAGAGAAATGAGTTTGAAGAGAGTGGCAAACCTCCTGTTGGCTCCAAGGGAACCTGGCTGGGAAAGTTTCTGTTCTAGCGAAAGCTCTTCCCAAAGCCCCGCGGCATCCGCAGGGCCAGGCGGCAGATACAACTCCAGCTGGCGCTGTTGTTTAATGTACGAGCACATAACCTGTTAAGTTGTTCAGTGTAAGAGCACATAACCTGCGCTGCCTCCAGCAGAGATCCGCTCCTCTTTGCAGCTGCATCAGCTATTAAAGACTGGGAAGGCTTGTCGTGCCAGCAAAGTACTACAGGAACTTGGGAGCAAAGAGCAGTCGGCAATAAGCATGCAAAGCATTCCGATGGGCTGCTTCTAACATTTGCATTTCACTCTTCTTATGTTAAAGAAGTGTGATTTGCTAAACAGACACATTTATGCTACAAGTACCAGTTTCAGCGTCCTTGAGACTGGCGAAAGGAACAAATGGAGTCACCTCCTCCCTCCCGCTCCATGCTTTTTCTGCCTGTTAGAAAACAAAGGCATTTAGGAAGAGTTTTCCTGCCCCAGGAGGATTAGGAGAACTCACCCATATAACCCTGCAAGTCCTACTTTCAGTTTGCAGCAGCACTCTACTGAGCTTCACCTAATACTTGAAATGATTTTGTACTTTGTAGGCATCAAAGCGAAATGGGGCCACCACTACGAGTGTTTGGGAAGGCTTCTGTGTCCTGCTGAGAAGTACAGTGATATTCTTAAATCAGGCTTCTTGTTTCAAGAACTCAAAGTGATTAAAATGATGCGCTTACTAAGGTAAAACCGCACTTAAAACTAAGGGCTCTGGCAGATTTAACTATACTAGCTTCTATAACAAAGTAGTTTGATGAGTTTAAGAAAAAAAAATGTAAGAAGATGAGATGTTAGTTTATTCTCTTACCAGATCTGCCACAGCTCACCTCTGAGCTTTGCCCTCCAGTCTGTAAACAACCAGTCCTGCGCTGCTGCCTTTTCCTTACCTGGCCTGCTTTCCCCCAGACGGCTTTACTATCCTGGCACTGGAACAGTATTTTGCATGCATTTTGAACTCCTCAGGGAACGCAACCTTGTGGTATGGTACGGAAGGATTGGTATTTCTGTTTTATGGGTAGAGAAAGCAAGGCATTGAGGTGTTGTGAGACTTACTCAAATGAGGTTTATCTGTAGCACTGAAGTTTTTGAGGACAGAAGTCCTGCTGGAACGTTATCTTGTAAAGCTTCTCTCCTTTTCTAGTAGTGCACAGACTATGTTTTCAAAACAGAAGGAAGTCTGAGGATATTTTCCTTCCAGCCCTGTATCCTGAGGCATAATGAACTTTATTGTGCTTGTGTCTCAGCACTTCCTCCCATAGCAAAACTGTTAAACAAATGGTCATATTCATAGTCCTACTCAGATTTCTACAGCTGTAGAGAAAAAAAACCCTGCTAGTTATACATTATTCTTTTTGTAAAGATAAAAATATCTGCAGTCTGTGCAGCCATAGTACTTTGGTGAAGGTCTAGAAATGCAGATATTGTGAAAAATAAAGGGAAGAAAAATGGGCAGACAAAAATCACAGTTTGAGATTTATTCCACGTGCACCGTGTGGATGTGGGCTAGCAGACTGTGTTTCTAGATAAGCTTTTTCCTTGTTTATTGTGCACCAGATGCAAGAGTATGTGCTTAAGGTACCCCCTCCAGAGCCAGCAACCTTACTTTGAAGCCCAGCAGAACTTCAGTGTGGGCAGATTTAGCTTTTCACACCAAATGCAGGCTTGTTATTCTTCAGAAACAGCGAGTTGTATTTTGGGCGAGTTACTAGATGTGGTTGTGTCACAGGTGTACATATTTGAATAAAAGGAAGGGAAAGATAAGTGTGGTTACTAATTACTTAGGTTGGAAACTTGTTAGCAAAGGACTCTGAACCAAATGCATGAAGAGACAAGAATGCATTTATATATTTTTCTTCATTAGCAGCATTATGTAACCTGATTTCATAAAACCAACACATTTCTGTGACTCCCTCATTTCCATAAATATGGGACAGCCACAGCTACGAACTTAGCAGGAAAATCCGTTCTACGCATTTCCAAAGCATGAGCATTGGCTCATATTGTAGAATACTGCATATCCTCTAACATTTGCTCCACAGAGGACTTGGACATCTCAGAAGATGCCACCTATTCAATTTGCTGTGGAATATATGCACAGGTAACATAGTATTTTACATTTATGCAATACTTTCTGAAGTTGTGCAACTATAGTACACTTACCTGCAGTTACGTTTACCTTTGTGCCAGGGAGAGCAACATGCTGGTACCACTTATAGCAGCGTAGTACATTTTAGCCAAAACACCCAGGGAAACCCTGAGTACTAGGGGGTCAGTGAAAAGCCAGACCACACACATGAGACTATCAACTAATTTTCTTGAAATGCAAATGATCTTTTGCAGGAAGAGGAAAGAGTTAAACAGCAGCTAGCAGGCTTGAAGGGTGGCTGCAAGGAAACCAATCTAGACTATACAATGGGTATTTTATAAGTCATTCTGGGGAATTCAGTGGTGTTTGCCGTCTGGGTGAAATTCCTTTGGGATTAGTCATTGTCTTAGAACGATGTGTCTTCCTAGAGGAGGCGTTTAAAAGGCACCTCAGCTTTTCTCAGCCTTTTTTCCCTGCTGTCTCCATGAGCACCCAGTTGACAGAAGCTGCCGTGGGAGCCCCAGCGCCACTCCCGTCCTGCCGTGCAGACGGGGCACCGCAATGGGATGAGGCAGCGAGTTCGGCCCTCTAATGAAAAGCACATTTGCTACTTCTCTGCCAAAAAAAAAAAAAAAAAAAAAAAAAAGCCAAAAAAAAAAAAAAAAAAGAAAACCCTTTTTTATGTTCTTGCCTTGACCTCCATTCCCTGCGTGCACACCCGCGGCCCAAGGCAAGCTTAGACAAAGGAGCAGGCAGGCACTCAGCGAAGTTCTTTGTCTGGGGATCTGCTCTCCTGCTAAACAAACACTTCTAAGCTGCCTGCAGCTCCGCTCGCATCGCCGACAGCGCAGCGCAAACCTGCAGCCGGCTCCGGCAGAGAGCAGGGACCGACGCCGGGCGGGTTTCTGTCTGTCCGTCCTCGGCCCGGCCGAACAAAAGGTGACAGAGCGGGAGAGCGCGGGGTCTGGTCTGCCCCCCTCCCCGGCTGCCTGCCCCCACCGACCTGTTTGAGCTCGTTGGTGAAGTAGAGGAAGGTGA